GACAGCGAACGGGCAGGTGAGGGGGACGTGGGAAGGATGGTAACGGAGGTGAAGGAAGGGGAGGTGGGGAAGGAGGATTGGTGGGAGAGGTGGCGGGGAACGGAGAAGAGTGAGAGATTGATGGAGATGGGAAGGGGGAGAAAGGAGAGGGAGAACGGAGGAACGGGAAACGCAAGAGGAGAGGGAGGAGGAGGAGAGGAGGCGGAGGCGGTGCTGGAACACGAAACGGATATGGTAGAGGAGGAGGGAGGACAAGGGATGACGATGATGTTGACGACGATGATATAATGGTGATGGTAGTGAATGTGTCATGATGGTGATGGAAATGAAGTTGATGTTGATGGTGGTTCTCCGGGTGATGATGCTGATATTGATGATTATGACGATGATGATGCTGATGTTGTTGTTGATGGTGGTGGCAATGCTGCTGCTGATGCTGGTGTCGATGAGGATGCTGATGATAAGGATGATGGTAATGATGATGACAAGGACGAGGAGGCGGAGGAGGAGGTGGAGCAGAAAACAAGGATGATCAGGATGAGGATGATGATGATGATGATGAGGATGATGATGAGGGCGAACACCACGAATATTCATATGATGGTGATGATGGTCATGGTGATGATGGTGATGGTCATGGCGATGATGATGATGCTGCTGATGATGATGCTGATGCTAATGTCGGTGATGATGCTGATGCTGATGATAATATACGTGGTGATGGTCATGGTCATGGTCATGGTGATGTCGATGGTAATGGTGATGACGACGGTGATGGTGATGGTGATGGTGGTGATGATGCCGAGGACGATGATGATGCTGATGATGACGACGACGATTATGATGATGGTGCTGCTGATGATGATTGATGCTGATGATGTTGATGCTGATGCTGCTGCTGATGATGATGATGATGATGATGATGATGATGATGATGATGATGATGATGATGATGGTGCTGATGATGAGGATTGTAATGCTGATGATGCTGATGATGGTGAGGAGGAGGCGGAGGCGACGGCGGAGGAAGAGGGGGAGCATGATGGCATATGAGGATCAAGGCGAGCAGGGTAATAATGTGTAGTAAGGTGGGGAATGGGAATGGGAAAACGGGAGAAGGGGATGCGGGTCATACCTTCCTTTACTCCCCCTTCCTGTTCCTCCCTTCCCGCGGTGGATGGAAGAGGAGGAGGGCGGAGGAGGGGCAATTATGAATTAGCCAGATAATCAGGAGTAGAAAGCATGACGGCCCCAGTTCGGTTCGGTTCGGTCCGGTTTGGCGCGCCTTCGTGTCGGTTCGGCCGGTCCGGTTCAGATCGCCGTCCGGTTCGGTCCATCCGGTCGGGTTCGGCCGGTTCGGTTCGGTCGGTCCAGTTCGTCCTCTCGGTTCGGCAGGTTCAGTCCAGTTCGGCCGGTTCGCTTCGGCCAGGGGGTTTGGGTTCGGTCGGAAGCCGCGACGCCCGCGGGAGCGATCGCGGGCAGCAGGAAGGTGGAGGAGGAAGGAGGGGGGGAGGAGGGGGACCCCTGCAGGACCCAAAGACTCCCTCCTGGCCCCCTCGTGGCCCATGGGGTCCCCCCTCGTGGCCCCTCGTGGCCGCCCACGGGGCCTCCTCGGGGCCCCCCTTGGGGCCTCCCTCCGGGCACCCTCGGGGCCCCCTCCGGGCCCCCTCGGGGTGGCACCCTCCCGCCCTCCCTCACCCCTGCCTCCCGCCCTCCCTCCCTCCTCATCCTCCTCCTCCTCTTCCTCCTTCTCCTCCTCTTTCTTGTCTCGTCCTCCTCCTGCTCCTCCTCCTGTTCCTCTTCCTCCGCCTCCTCCTCCTCCTCCGACTCCACCTCCTCCTCCTCCTCCTCATCCATCCTCCTCATCCCTCCCTCCTCGTGGCCTCCTCTTTCTCTTCCCTCCCCTCACCACCCAGGGGCGGCCTCAAGGTGGCCCCGAGGGGGCCACACACGAGGGGTATATACTGGGGGATGTCCTGGGATCCGCTTGGCTCTCTCGCGAGACCCGCCGGCGGGGTCGCGGGTCGCGTCTGGTTTGGCCGGTTCAGTGCGGCGGGCCGGTTCGGTTCGTCGGGCCGGTTCGGTTCGGTTCTGCCGGGTCGGATCAGTCCTTTTCGGCCGGGTCGGTTCGAGGACCCATTCTCGGTCTTCGGTCCGGTTCGCGGCCATCATGAGAACATCTACATTCTGATGATTTCCGCAGGGGCGGGACGATACACGCATGCAGCGAATGAGGACGCGGTGAGGAGGGGCGGAGCGTTGGTAGAAAAAAGGAGGGCAGAGGCAGCATGCTGATGTGGAGGGAGAAAGACCAGTAGGAGTGGGGAGACAAACGGGAGGATCAGGAGGAGGAGGAATCAGATCAGGCGGAGGTGGGGGATGTGTTGTGCCGATGTGCTCTCGCGGGTTCGCTTCCCGCAGGGGGCTCCGCGCATGTTTGTCGGAGTTCACTCGGTGAGAGGTTGGCGTGGCCATCCTCCTAGAATGGAGTACAGGCAAA